GCGATCTGTCTCAACGAGCGCAGCCTCAGCTCCGCTACTGAGCCATTGGTTCGTTTTTAATACACCAACCAATGGCCATGCAGTTACACTGCGTTATTAAAAGGCTTCAGTCATCGGAGAAAAATTAGTTTTTCCCAAAGCGTCTTAAACAGACGCAGTACGAGTGAAGTATCGATAGGGAACTCTGCTATGTGCATAATGTGACACTGTTAACACTAAAACGAATGTCACAGTAAATGCCATTTTATTAAAAAAAAAGATGTTTACATTTATCATGGCAGTAGTGCTTCATCAAATGATGGAGAAGAGCATTGTGGCATACCTTATGTGCAAACATGTGGTGTAGTTGAGCGCAGTTTATTCATTTGAAAGACTTGCTTCATAACTGAACCCAATTCACATAATTCCTTCAGTAAACTAGTGCTAAAACAACACAGACTAGAGTGAGTATAAACAACACTTATATTTCTAGAACCCTCTCTTACAAGAATACTGATAACAAAAGAAAGCAAAAAAAGTTATGACTGGCTCATTCTGCATAATTACATTTGACACATACTAATTATAAGAGGCAGACTGACTCATAAGCTTTTTGGGTTATTACATTATGGGAATGTGTTCAGAAATACAATTACAGTTTCAATTACACATTCCATGTGCTTAGAGATAATGCATTGCTGTTTATGCTGGATGATGAAATCAGTAAACCTCATTTGTTAAAAGTAAATATATGAACTATCTGGGTGTAATTATGAGTCAAAAAATAATTTTTCGAAATAAAGTGTCCAATTTTACACCATTTAATATCACATACATTTAAAAGTGACCCAATTTACTTTCTTATTACACTGTCCTTGTCTTACCTTTTTTATTTATTATCTAGTAAATTAATGTACTTTATATGTATTATGTATATTATGTATGTAATATGTATTATTTTTATATACACCATATATATTAGTGCTGTCAAATCGCATCCAAAATAAAAGTTTTTGTTTACATAATATATGTATGTGTACTGTGTATATTTATTATGTATATATAAATACACACACATGCACGTATATATTTCAGAAAATTTTTTTTTTAATAATATTAAATATATTTATTTATAATATCAATTATATGAATATAAATATAGACATGTACATACATGTAAATATTTTTTAAAAATATATACTGTATGTGTATGTACACTGAACAAAATTATAAACGCAACACTTTTGTTTTTGCCCCCATTTTTCATGAGCTAAACTCGAAGATCTAAGATTTTTTCTATGTACACAAAAGGCCTATTTCTCTCAAATATTGTTCACAAATCTGTCTAAATGTGTGTTAGTGAGCACTTCTCCTTTGCCGAGATAATCCATCCAACCCAGAGGTGT